CCTGAAATAAAGTAGGGAATAGTTATACATGCACATCCTTCTCTCTCTCTCTCCTTCTCCCTCCCTCTCTCTCTCTCTCACCATCTTTAAGTTTCTCGTTACAATAGTCCATTAGTTTCTTAGTCTCATTCTCAGTCCATGGTCTTATCAAGTGTTGTCCTGCTAGTACATTCCTGTATCTCTCTCGGCACTGGGTGGAGTTTCTGGTACCGACAAACTTTGAGACAGCAGTCCATACTGCACCACTCGATCCGTATAATCTGATAGCCTCTTTTAACCACTAATAATAATAATAATAATAATAACACAATATTAATAGCACAAATAATGATAATAATGATGATCAATGAATTCACAGTTGTTGATCTAGAGGGAGTTTAGGAGACTTTTAGCCTCTCAAATTTAACCTAGGCCTGTATGTATATGTAGGTTTAACACCGACCAGGAGGTGTTAAACCGATATAAACAACGAATGCTATTATAGCTGTGCGGCAGCATTGTTAACAATGATGTGACCACTGCCACGTGTTGCAATGCGCAGGGGCATTGCAGCAGATTATAGAGCAGTAATGGCAGCTTGGAATACTCTTTAGTCAAGAAGGCTGAAGAAGTGACTGGATGAAGCTATCATGAGCAAACCTCACGCTAATATGACCCTAGGATGGCTTTGACCGACGATGGAGCCAAACTCTGAGCCCGATGGATCATGACGCGGTGAATGTTAACCATGAATGTTATATTCTTGAAAGCATAGTGGAAGAAGAGCCGGCAGACCTTTTTCCATTACTGTAACAATAGCTTTTGAAATTTTAATCAAAATTTGTGAAAACAAACGTGTACGCTTCTTGGCCCCGCGGCTCGGCCCTGGGATTTACACAATTTTAATACCTCATTAGTCCTCAAAACATCAAAGAGAATTATTCATGAGTTGTTTATATGTATTTTAGGTATACTGGTCTCCCAAAATTTATTATTAATTTCTAGAACTAAAACTAATGATAATGTGATTATTAATTATAGAATACATTAAATATTATTCCCTACCTCATTTTCTTCATCACTCCATTTCCCACTACACACAGATGGTATACTGGAAAACCCTAAGACTCCACCGTGATACCAGCCAGTACACTGCTGACTGGTTCTCGTACCAATGTATGAAGCAACTGAATAATAATAATAATAATAATAATAATAATAATAATAATAATAATAATAATAATAATAATAATAATAATAATAATAATAATAATAATAATGATGATGATGATGATGATAATAATAATAATAATAATAATAATAATAATAATAATAATGATGATGATAATAATAATAATAATAATAATAATAATAATAATAATAATAATAATAATAATAATAATAATAATAATAATGATGATGATGATGATAATAATAATAATAATAATAATAATAATAATAATAATAATAATGATGATGATAATAATAATAATAATAATAATAATAATAATAATAATAATAATAATAATGATGATGATGATGATGATGATAATAATAATAATAATAATAATAATAATAATAATAATAATAATAATAATAATAATGCTAACCCATTCCCCAGTTCTGTCCATACATGGTGACTGCTTTCTTTAGTTTCATGTCTTCTTCTAATGTCCACTGACTACATAAGAATATAAGGAATCAGTAAAGATGTCTTTGTGGAATCATCTCAAATTTTTATTACATTTTCTAATACATATTGATGTCCTTATGCTGTGTAGATAGTTTGAGCTGATTCCGACAAATATTTTTCAAGTTACGGCCATTTTAAGAAATATGCCAAAATCTGAAAAATACCCAAGGCTATAGCCCATGGTTTTTTCAAAAAATGGCTCCAAAATCACCACAAATTTTTATTACATTTTCTGATACATATTGATGTCCTTATGCTGTGTAGCAATTTTGAGCTGATTCCGACAAATATTTTTCGAGTTACAGCCATTTTAAGAAATATGCCAAAATCTGAAAAATACCCAAGGCTATAGCCCATGGTTTTTTCAAAAAATGGCTCCAAAATCACCTCAAATTTTTATTACATTTTCTGATACATATTGCTGTCCTTATGCTGTGTAGCAAGTTTGAGCTGATTCCGACAAATATTTTTCGAGTTACGGCCATTTTAAGAAATATGCCAAAATCTGAAAAATACCCAAGGTTATAGCCCATGGTTTTTTCTCAAAAATGGCTCTGAAATCACCCCAAATTTTTATTACATTTTCTGATACATATTGATGTCCTTATGCCGTGTAGAAAGTTTAAGCTGATTCCAACAAATATTTTTCGAGCTACGGCCATTTTAAGAAAACGCCAAAATCCTGAAAAATATCCAAGGCTATAGCCCATGGATTTTTCCAAAAAATGGCTCCGAAATCACCCGAAATTTTTATTACATTCTCTGATACATATTGATGCCCTTAGGCTGTGTAGCAAGTTTGAGCTGATTCTGAGAAAAAATTTCCGAGTTATTATCATGTACATATACAATATAGACATGTACATGCTCTTACAGGTACATGTATTTTAAATTTTTAAAAGTTGCTTCAGTGACACATAAAATTAATATCATTACTACGGTACATGTATGTACATGTAGCCTCTCTTAATAGACACTCTATAGCATACCAGGGATGGGGCAAGCACAGAGTTGAACTGTTCGTATGCTATTGTGTTCCAGTCCAGATCATCTGAATGGACTAACAACTGATGAACATTCTTAGTCCTGGGGAGAGAGAGAGAGAGAGAAAAGTAAAAAAATTTTTAAAGATACACCATCTCTTATGTTATGTACAGTACATGTACATGTACTATTATTATTATTATCTTT